ACTTTTATGACATAAATTGTTTAGCCTAATTTTGTCTGTATTTTAAAGTTTTAATTATTTAAATGTTTACTGCTTTTATATTTTATTATTATTATTTTTTTAAATTTATTTATTTATTAAGGTATAACACACAAAACAAAACAACAGCCAAAGGCTTACAACGTTTGTTTACAATCAACAAATAAATATAGGAAAATAACAACATAGGAAAATAAGTCAGGTGGAAAAATACATATCGAAATATCAAAACATTCAAATAATTCCAATAGAAAAGTTAAAAATTAATATCATATTACAAAATATATATATATACAAAAATATACACCATATTATTATAATTAAATTTCAAAAACGTCAATTAATTCGAAATTAAATATACATATAGAAATATCAAAACATTCAAATAATTACATTGCCAAGACTGAATTATTATTATTATTATTATACTTATTATTATTATTATTATTATTATTATTATTATTATTATTATTATTATTATTATTATTATTATTATTATTATTATTATTGTTATTATTATTATTATTATTATTATTAATGTTGTTCTTCTTTCGCGTTTTCTACTTCTATGACAATTTAGCCTCATTTTCACCGTATTTATCGTTGTACACTTTCAGGTTTATAATTTGTTTTATGTAGTGCCACATTGGAATTAAGTTTTACTTCTTAAAGAAAATGTTCATAGAACATCCTTGCATCATCTTTTATTGTAATATTTTTTTGAACTGAACTGATGATATACCAAAATAAATATATAATTATAATGGTCTATTAATTTAATTTGAGTTGTACTTTCTAATGTTGTTATATTATGAGCAGGTAAAATAAAACCATCAAACCGAGGTAAATTCAAGTTAATATCATCTTAAATTTCATTATTAAGGTGCGAAATCATGAAGGGGTTTATACATAGCTGAGTGTATCTATAATCATGGAGGTATACCTCCATGCTATAATGATGTTTTCTCATGTTGGCCTATGCCTATCAACCACGGATGCTGACATGTACCTGTTATATTTAATGAGATTACCAGTGGGTATAGAATGTATTAAATGTTATTTTTTTAATGTATTTATTTTTAGTTTTTCTCATGTATTATCACGCAACTGCCTAAAAACCATATTTGGCAGCGAAGGGACGCTATCAATAAACAGTCAACAAACTACCGGGTTTCTGGGTTAATTTGCAAGGTACTACATGGCTCAACTATATTTTACCTAGGGGATAATTGGTAAAAATCGCACACAAATCATACGACGTCACTGACAACGCCGGGGACGGCAACTCGATTTGAGATTAATTTTCCGAATAAGGTTATACTAAATAACTTCTAATGACGAAATATTGTCTTCAGTTGTCTTTGTTGGTCATTCAACTGTCATTTTATCGATTTTTTCGGTGATATTACTATTCTCAATAGTCTATAAAACACCCACATAACAACGTCACGTCAGATCGTTCGGTGGGGAACAGTGGTGACGCCTGCGGGGAAGAGGGATCTGAAGTCCCCCACCGGACAGGTGTCAAGCCCCCCTGAAGGACAGAGTTCGTTGGGCAGTCATACCATAAAACATATAAAAATAGACCCACACCAAGCCAACACATGTCTGTCACAGTGTGAGAGTCCCATTTCCGACCATCCAGAGGTTGACATTTTTTTTTAAAATCTCATTTTGGAGGGAACCCCCTCTCAGCTCCTTCCTCAAGCTCAAGCCTACGAGCTCAAGTCCCCTCTGTCGGACAACTTAGCCACCCCCCGCCCCCAGAAAATATATCCTAGAGCCGCAACTGGTGGGGACGCCATGGTGACGTATACTTACCTGGCACAGGAGTGACTTTGATCAAGAAGGAATGTGCTCCCAAGATGAGGCCTCGGCATTGCACTTGGCTGAGGTTGACCCATTCCCCCAAATGTTGTGGGGAACCCGGGTGTATAATTTATGGTAGTGGGGGACTGCGTTCGCGCTAACCCCTAACACGAATTGAAAAATAGAATTAATATGTAAACACTTTAGAAAGAGTATTGGTGTTTGCTTGAATGTGGTGCAGTTTTTGGAAATAAGGGTACAAGCTATCGCCATTATAAACTAGAAAATAGGCCATATAGGATATATCATTATATGCTTGATTTGTATATTTCGCTATCACGCCGAAATGGCATATATATAATGTTTTTATTGTTATGTTTTCTACAAATATATTCTATGATCAACTTTATGTGGGAGTTTCTTTGGGGTGAGGGAGATTTTCAAGTTTATTATAGACGTATCAATATAGCTTTTAGGCGTACTCTACTACCTGATGACAAACAATGACCTCATTGTTGAAACACATTGAATAAAAGTTAGTAGACTAATTTGCATATTTATTATAATCAGAAAACATTTATAATACAGAATCATTGGTGTTATATTTATACTCGAAAAGATATACACTTATAAAAACTAACTTTAAAAGATTTAAATACAAAAATTGTAATATTTATTATAAAATGATCGTAATGAAAATTTTAAAAGCCAGAAGAAAAGAAGTGTTGAAATGACACCTGTAGGCCACAGTATTTCTAATATTATACTATAGAATATTGTTGATGGCCAAACATACTTACCTGGCACAGGAGAGACTTTGATCAAGAAGGAATGTCCTCCCAAGGTGAGGCCTCGGCATTGCACTTGGCTGAGGTTGACCCTTGCGATTCCCCCAAATGTGGGGAACTCGGGTGTATAATTTATGGTAGCGGGGGACTGCGTTCGCGCTAACCCCTAACACGAATTTAAAGATAGAATTAATATGTAAACACTTCGGAAAGAGCATTGGTGTTTTCTAGAATGTGTTGTAGTTTTTGGAAATAAGGATACAAACTATCGCCATTATGAACTAGAAAATAAGCCTATATAGGATATATGCCTGATTTGTATATTTCGCTATCACGCCGAAATGGCATATATATAATGTTTTTATTGTTATGTTTTCTACAAATATATTCTATGATCAACTTTATGTGAGAGTTTCTTTGCCATGGGGAGATTTTCAAAATTTATTATAATTTTACATATATCAATAGAGCTTTTAGGCGTATTGTAGGCTACTACCTGATGGCAAGCAATGGCCTCTTTGTTGAAACACATTGATCAGGAATTAGTAAACTAATTTGCATATTCAATATAATCAGAAAACATTTGTAATACAGAATCATTGGTGTTATATTTATACTTGAAAAGATATA